TTCGCTCAATCTAACTTAGTCTTGCTTTAGATTTGTTTGTTCGTCTGATTTTCTGTTGAATTTTGTTTCTCTTTGGTTAATTTTTGGGCTCCCTTTGCTATCTCATCAATGTGGAGATGCGTAAGGGTTGGAAATTGGTTTGTCGATTGCCATTGGATATTAAGACTTTGTTGCATTGATCTCCTTCCTATTTGATGCAACAAATTCATCATTGCACCTCTGCTTGCAATGTCTAATCTTTTGAGTTTCCCTCTGTTATCGAAGGCATAAGATAGTGCCATAGATAGGTCGACCACTTTTCTTGAGTGTTGGCCTCCAACATAAGGGACCGTCTGATTAGCAGTTTGTATAGTACCAGGACATTTCTGGCTATTACTGCTACTCTTGTACCTGCTTCCAATCTTCGGACCAACATGCAGTAAATAAATTGTTTTTGTTGTTACTGGTACTTCTTATGTTCAAAGTATATAAATAACACTTCGTATCTTCTTGTTTTATTTACTATGACTATCTGCTAACATAATTTGGATTAATAATTATTCTGTCTAAGCTTTGTATGAAGTTCCTAGAATTCATGAGCATGCAATTAAGTTGCTATTTATGTACAGAAAATGTATTAGCTAATCATAATTTCTATGCAGACTACTTATGTTTTAGGATATCTTATTATATACTCATGTCATCAGATGATCAGATCCCATATGATTCTAGCCCTACTTTAAGTTTAGAGCAATTTAGTTTAAATCTTTACCTTATGCTCTTACACTTACTTTTGATGCCTTTTTGTGTGGTCAGATTATTGTATTGCTAGCATTAGCTCTTGAATATCTGTTTAATAGCATCTGTGATCTTGTCTAGCTAATATGGAATTGATGACACGCATGATTTTTATTCTACTGAATGCTATTTTATATTAGTTAAACTACAATGATTATTTGTCAAATCTAATTGTTGGTTGCTATGTAGTACTTGAAATTATGTATGGCATGTACTCTTTGCTGAATATATGCATTTGAAGTGAAAATTAAGTTTAGACAGTTGGTAGCTCTGAGTTTTATTTTGAGTTTGATTATCTTCCACTGAGTTTCTACTCAGAAGTACAAAACCAGCTACATTTCTTCTCTTGTATATTTAAATTGCTTAGCTTTGATCTGACTAATAGTTTATGGGTGATACAAACACTTACTGACTCAAGTGCTCTTGTTCCCCTGGATCGTTTTAAGTTTTGCCTCAAGTTCCCGTACATATCTGCGCACTCTAAATTAACAAAAACATCAACCATGTTATATTTAAAGGTTCCAAGTCTAGTACTGTGTTAGAATTTTTTGGCCTAGCTGCTAAGATTGAGTGCATTATCTGCCTGTTTATTGTTGTTTTATAGCACTCCTAACTTCCAAGTCAATTAGTATTTTATATATACTGGAGCAATTGCAGACTTAATTGTTATGTTTCATGCTATATCATATGCGAATCCATTTTAATGATTTGGATAATACGTTAATTCTATAAGTGCATGCTAGATTACTAGATATCCTAAATTTTGTTATTATCTCTTCCTTGCCTTTGTTTTTGCTTTTAAATGTAAAACACGGTAATTATTTGCTTATTTCAATAATTTCTTAATTGTCTACAATTTATAATATCTGATTCAAAAGCTTGCTTTGACAGACCGTTGGAAGCTGAAAGCTGATTCGTTGGAATCGGATAGCTTATGGTTCGTGGAAGAATCACAATTTGGCTATTACAAAATTATTTGATGACAAGCAGGAGTAGGAGAAGTTATCTGATGACAAGGAGAAGAAGGAAAAGTTATCTGATGATAGTTACCTTATTTTTGTAAATAGTGACTTCTATATAAATGTGGTCAATGTTGTCAAAATTGATATAATTACCGTATTTTTATACATAGTGACCTTCGTTATTTTTATATATAGTGGCCTCTGAATAAATGTGGTCAAAATTGATATAGTTACCTTATTTTTGTATATAGTGACCTTTATGTAAATGTGGTCAAAATTGATATAATTACCTTATTTTTGTATATAGTGACCTCTACTATTGCAACTTAGCTTCTTACTAATAACATAAGTAAGAAGCTATAGTTTAGTGGAGTACATCATTAATAATAACATAAGTACGTTAGTGGAGTACATCATGGGGCATGTTTATGGCTATTTGTTATATGTGGATCAATAGTTTTATGCTTAATCAAGTAATGTAGGGAGTTTTAGTGTTGTTTTGATTACGTTCATAGCTACTTTTTAGAGGGTAGTGAAGGGTAATTATGGTTTCCTAATATTGAGTTAGGTTAGTAGTGGTTTCCAAATTTCAAAACACTAAGTTAATACAAACCATTTTTGGACTTCACTATTATCTTGATAGTGGAGTTCGTATATATGTCACCAAATGGAGGTAAATATTCCCGCCATCCACTATCTTGCCAATTTACCTCAACAAATGGCAATACGCTATTGGGTAAAAAGACATATAAATGTACATTACTCTCCGGGAAACCAAGCTGCTCACATTCGAAAAGTGACCTCCAAGTAACACCCTTGTGTTGATGAACAACATGCCTTCAACACCAAGAATAACCTGTGTGCTATCACCCATAGCACATCATCCTCCCACAATTCCTACCAACACTACCCATGCCACTCCAAAGTCAAACAAAAAACCAACGCTTCTCAGTAGGAGGTTTCATAAGAAGAAGAGCCTTTTAGCTAAGATACTCAATCAGAATGCCATTAGGACCCTCCTGAAGCATAAGGTTGGTAGAATACACCCATTCCCTAATAATGGAAAATTGAAAGAACAATTCGATGCTGGCTTAGCATTGACACGGTCCATTGTAGCCGTCAATAGAGCTCGGTTGCAGCTGGAAGGTCCTCCTACGACCGAATTAAATGTTCCTGTGACGGAGGATGATGTCTCTGAGCCTTTAGAAGGTGAGGGACCATCTCCCTTAAACCACACAATCCTTGTTAAGAGTAGACAACGTCATGATATAGGCATTACGTATGAGATAAGAGATGATGAAACCTTTGAATTGATATATGAGGATTATTCATCACGAGTTGATGTTTCAATCCATGAATTACTTATCAAGAAGCATAGCTTGTTAGTGGCACGTACTGCCACTGCCACATCAGTCAGAATAACGACCGGAGATATTTTATATGTCTGTGGTGTGGAACGAGTTATTTTTTGCAAAGCAGTTCATACGAAATAGTGTTGTTATGATTGTTCATATATATTTCAGTATATGCATGTTCAAATTCGTAATATTTGACAAATGTTTACCATTTTTGTTTTCCTAAATGCAAGGATCCATCGAAGAACATGGTCAGAAGGAGGGAATTTTTCTACACGCACAACACTTGCACACCTTGCCATGAAGTGAAGTGCAATGCAAGCATACTTCGAAGCTTAGGAGGCTATGCTTCAAGTGGGGTGAAGTGGTGGGCAAGGAACCTAATACACTAATGCTTCTACACCAAGATAGAAAGTTAAATAGGCTCCTTACAGTTGGTGAAGCTAGCATAAAGAATGAAGACTACGTGTATGCTTGTCCAGAAGTATGACATTGGTTGTTGTTGTAGGCAAGTCTAATTTATGTTAGCTAACAAATAAGGGTCAAATTAATGTAGTTTATGTGGTCAGTTTGTCACTTTTGTAGGCCGTTTCAGTTTTAGTGAAATCAGCACAACAATCAACAAGTATGTTATGTATACCCCTTTTGGTGTATTAGAGTACGGGGATAGTTGCTTTGTTTTCAATTAATTCAAGTGAATCAACTCATGTTTGTCGTTGTAATCGCGTAGGTTGACTGAGTTTGTCTTCATTTTCAAACTATTGGCTAACTGGGTTTATATTATGTATCGTACCGTAGATCTTTTCAACGATCTCTATGTAATGTAAGTATCATAATTAAACGTTGTTGTATTAATTTGCGTTTTGTTTCGTTCTTTGTATTGTAAAATTGAAACAAAGAAAGAGATAACTCAGGCTAAATAGTTTATCCTAAATACAGGTGTATTAGTTGTAGTGTTAAAAGTACGGTGAACAAGTTAAAACATTACACAACCGTAAAGGTAAGCTCATACATAATTGGTTACATTCATGGTTTCATATTGCGCCAAGATTAGAACATTTGGTGGTCACTGGTCCACTCCTGGGTGGACATGTTGAGCTCAAAATCATCACATGGCAAATCATCAGTAGGAGTGACAGCGTAGAACTGAGTGTAGGGGTTCGGTTGTTTCCTCCTTTTCACCTGCAACCAAACCAGCATTAGGTATGTATTGCCGTAAGAAGATAGCCTTTGGACAGATACATTAGCAAGTTCCATACCGGTAGTTTAGTTGTTTGGAGTGATTCATATACAAATCCTACATGTGCTTTCTTCTGGGCTCTATGTCATACAGAGAAATTAACAACATAAGCAAATACTGCCCCGGTCAGTGAATGAAAAGAATGGATTCACCCAAACAAACCATAGTGGCACCATACACATACCTTAGTGTTTTTCCCTTTGGCTGCATTGTATCCTAATTCAGACAACGCCTTGTTCCTTGATCCCTTTGGCCGACCTCTAGGCTTCTTTTGAGTGACTAGGTTTTGGATTACATTTCCTGAACTTTTTCCACCATTGAATTCAGAAGTATTGGGCATACCTTTATTACCCCATCCAGCGACATTATAATTCTTGGGTATAGACTTAGGAGTGCCTTCCGGTGGAGGTGGATTTGATGACCCTATTTCTGATCCAAGCCCATTTTTAGCCATGCTTTTTGCACGACGCTCATTAACTTCAGTTTGGATCTTCGTCATTGCTTGTCTGACTGCCTCAACTGTTTTGTCATCAATGGCAGCTGCTTCATCACACAATGCCTCAAGGTCTGGAATTAACTTGTTGTATGCATACATTCCTCTATTTGAGTAGGGTCATGGTATGCAACTTTGACGCGAGTGTGCTTCCTCAACACATCCTTTCGCCATCAATTTAGCACAAATTCCGATGGAATTTCTGTCACCAAGTTTTCATCCCACACTCTAATGACATGCTTACGAAGGATCCCATCCTTTTCGAACTTCCTACAGCCGCATCTAATATGTTTAGTGACAGGGTTAAAAATCAGTGTGTAAAACCTCCTGGAATCAGTGATGATTTCCTCATTTGAACCTTCTCGAACAACCCAAACGCGATCTAAAACCAAGTACTGAATTTCAACTTCACTGATAATTTTCTCCTCCTTGATCTGAACATATAGCATCCTTGCACATTCTTTTTGAAGTTCTTGAAACTTCGCATCAGTATATATTTTTTGAAAATACTGTTCCACTTTGAATCCACTCACAAGTCATCTAATGTACTTGGAATCCCTTGCATCAACATCTTTCTCATCCGTAACCCGCTTCTTCATCGCTTTGTTATATTTTTCAGGAAACTCGAATAGTTTTGTTTTACGGGTGACAAAGCCATCGAAAAAGCGGTTAATGCTCTCTACCCTCTGTGTAGTTTTCATACCTGCCCAAAATTACTCTTTCATGTAGGTCGGCACCCACATGTGCCTCTCAATAAATAGATCTTGCAGCCATTCATTGTCCTCCAACCCATACAACTTTATTGCTTCACATCATCGAGTTTGAAATTCTTCTACAGTGAAGCTGTCATATATTATATTCTTCAAAGGGTTCTTGAAATCATCGTACCTGTCATTGCATTCAAACAAAACTACGGGTTCACTGTTTCACAAAGTCAGCAACATAAATCAAATTCTGGACAACAGTAAAAGGTTAACCTGTATGCTAAATAAAATTAGAACAACACAAGGGTTGATCCACAAGCATTGCAATATAATGAACAACAGTACTTGTAACAGCTTGAACAATGACATAAAAACCAATGACAACCACATTGTAGAATAATAAAATTAACTTAGCCTACTGCAACAATGCCAAAAACCAAATCCTACTCTAGTTTCTTAATAAAGGTCACTTCATGACATTACATTAATAAGCCAGCCAATTGTTTTGTACATTTTAACTATAAATGATTATTAAAAGTAACAAGTAAAACCAACAAATAAAACTCATAAATTACAATAAACAGCTATAACCAATAAAAAACAGTGAATGAAAAATGTACCAAGGTAGGCAATACTTACAAGGCACACTTGCCAAGTTTCTCTGGAAATTTCCGCATAATATGCCATATACACCATCGATGGCGTGTATTAGGCATCACTTCAGCTAAGGGCTTCTGCATAGAAGCTGCTTGATCGGTGAGGATGGCATTTGGAGCTTTATTACCCATACAAGATACCCATTGTTCAAAGATCCATCTATAGGTATCACAATCTTCACGAGAAATGAGGGCACACCCTAACAAAATAGACTGGCCATGGTGATTAACCCCGACAAAATTTACAAAGGGTAGCTCGTACTCATTTGTTAAGTATGTGGCATCGAAGAAAACCACGTCTCCAAAGTCTTCATAAGTTACCCGGCTCCTTGCATCCACCCACATGACATCTTTTAATCGACCATCATCATCCAACCTATTTGCATGGTAAAAATTCTGATTATCTGCTTGCATGTAATCAAAGTAGTCCATCATGGCTCGTACATCTCCGCCAGCCATCTTGAGCCGCCTTTGCTTGTACAGTTCATGCTGAAGATCCTTGACACTTAGCAAGTTTCCATTCTCAGTGCCTAAACAACCGCGAGTTTGGGACACGGAGAGACCTTCCTCAAAAAATTTAATCAACCTCCTTCGTACCGTTGAAGTCAACTTCTTCATATGATACTCTTTAACCAAATTTGCCATACTTGGAGATAGAGTATGAGTATGCTCCAACACAACAGTTTTCAAAATCCAGAGCCCATCAACGTTTAAACTCCCATAAACCCTAGCATTGCACTCACATTTCTTCGATTTACGTTTTCCATGTGCAAGCTCTGCCTCCCCTATAGCCCCATTCACATTTCCAAGACTTCCCTCAACTTCCATGTACTTTGCCCTTTTCTTTGCCTCACGCTTCGCCCTCATGTTGGATGCACCCAACATTCGCACCTCCAAGTTATTCCCCTTCTCACTTTTGTACTAGTGTATGATCCTTGCACTCTAGTAACGCTAAATCCACAATGCTCAGCATATGTTTTGTAGAACAACTCAATTTCCTCCCAAGATTTAAAAAGCATTCCAACTTTTGGAGGCGGAGCACAGGTAACCCCACTCCTCTTATTGGTAGAAACTATACTCTCCAATGTCTGGATTGTCTCCATTGGGGAAGGGCATTGAGTTGGATTGCAAGTTTTGTCATTCATAAACAACGTAGTTGTATTAGTTTCAACTGTCTGAGCCAAGGTTATGTCCTCCAACTCAACTGCATTCACATCCTCATATTCTTCCTGCTCATTTTCATCTAGACCAATCTCCATCAAGGAACCAACCTCTTCACAGTCCCTTGGAAAGGGACTTAGGCTATCTTCTCCCAAATCAGACATCTTATCCAACACCTACTACCACATATATCATGTAAAGGTCACACATGCTGAACGAGTACACAACACAATGCACTAAAACACACAATAATCATAATCCCAACTGAATGATTTCAGAAACCACTACATAATTTATACAAAATCATAACAACAAATGTAACACACGGTTGAAATTTGAAAGGTATAGCCTTGGGGAGATAGTCATCACCATAATCAAACAATAAACATATTCATGCGATTTCCCAAGTTACTATAATCATTCAAACAACAAAATATATCAAATTAACCAACAGAAGGGCGCAATTCCAAAGTAACCCAGTACCAATTACTAAAAATTGGGTCATAATTAATCAACTATGGTGAAAATAAACTAACCTTTACCAAATTCAAACAACGAAATATATCAAATTAAGCAACAAAGGTTGCAATTCCACACTTACGCACAACCAATTACAAAAAATTGGGGCCATAATTAAACAAAATCAAATCTCTTATGGTGAAAATAAACTAACCTTCAACGAGGGCCAGAACCAAACAAACGGCGCAAACTAGACACACACGTACACCACTGAAGACGAAAACAACAGATTTCAACCAACAGGAAGACGGGAAAACCACCAGGAAGCAAAGTTCTTTGTTACTGTGTAAAATGCGATTGTGAGAGAGAGTGAGGTATATGGCCTATTTCGCAAAGTATGCAAATTAACGCTTCTTACCTCCGTCAAATTATACTTTCACATCGTCTGTTAACGACAAAATGGGCCAACAATTACAACAACTATTTTTTATTTAAATACGGTTACGTGGCAGCAAAAGGTTGAAGAGAAAAACTTTAATGGGGGCTCGCCTGTTTTTTTTTTTTAGTTTTCGCTTGAAATTTGAAATTCCGCCACTAATTTACAATAGCGCGTTCAATTTCTACGACGACTTAGTATTTGTACATAACGAAATACCTACTTGTCATTTGTGGGCTTAATCTTAAACCAACATTATTAACGAAGACAACCAAAATTTGTCGTTAAAGAATGACAATAACGACCAATTTTTTGTGTCGTCGTTAATGATATTAATTTTAGTAGTGACCCTTCTCACAATCCTTTGCTAAATTTGAGCTCTGTTATGTGTTTTTGGCGATGCAAACTTTATGCTTCTTATCATTATGAGTAACTACGTACTCTGTCTCCTCCTCATAGTCAACAACATCTAAAGCATAATCTTCTTATTCTAAAACATAGTTAGCATCATTAGAATTTGACCCACTTATCATCTCATCAAAGGAAAAATCATCACCTTCCTCAACCATAGCTTTCATTTTCTCTTTATTGGTATGTTTGCTAGAAGAAGCAGCATGAACATGCCTCATGATTTATTTGAGGCTAGACTGCAAGTGGTACAATGCAAAAGGATTAAAAATGTAAATTAAATAATTACTAAACTCACCAGACTCAAAGATAACTTAAATCACCAGAAAACAAGACTCCTCAAATTGACATAAGTTGTTTTAGACACGTCGTTAAATGCTCAAAACTCTAAGTCAACAACATTTATAAACACTCAACCACCCTAAGCATGAGCATAAAGGTAAGTCAAGGGTCGATCCATGAGGAATGGGAGTTGAAAACTATAACTGAAAGGAATGGTATCCTTCAAACAAGTGTATTATTCCGATAGAGGATTCGAAATTAATTGGAAAGCTAATTATTCAGTGAGGTCAAGTGATCAAAATGCCTAGCTGGAGGGCGCTTCCGATCAGTATTATTAATGAATAATTAATATTACAGCTTAATCTTGATTGAACCCTTCGGGCCACACCCAATCGTGTAACCGAACCAAATCGACGAATTAATCCGAAGGATTAAATGAGTCAATAGAGATTTACAAACAAAGACCTCGGATTACGAGCTAAGAGCGTCGAAATCGAGCGTTGTGCGTCGAGTCGATTTTAGGAATCGACGAAGATGAGAAAAATAATCAAATAATATATCGTGCTAAAAAATATGAGGATAGCATGAACCCTAGCCACGCCTCGGATCGAAGGCAAGTGGCTAGGGGCCGCAAGCAACAAGGCACCAAGCCACCGCAAGCCCGCAGCCCTCGCAAGGCCCAGCTAGGTAGGCCGTGGCGTGCGGGGCTGGATGGGGCTACTTCGTGGGCCTACGCGCCACATCACCCTAAGCCGAGCTGCCAGCAAGGCCAGTAAGAAAGTCGAGCTTGCGAGGGGGCTGCTGGGCCTACGCTGCTACTGCTCGCTTGCGGGTGCCGTTGCTGGGCCTGCGTGTGCGCATGGGCTTGCGATGGCATCCGTGGGCTTGCGGCCATGGGTTGGCGTGCCTAGCCTTGTGGCGCAAGGTTGCCAGCAAGGCTGGCTTGCTGCCCAAGGCCGGGCAGCTGCCCGGGCTAACCAAGTAGGTAGGGGGCAAGCCTTGCCTTGCTTTCCAAGGCCTAAGTGGTCCTTCCACCTACTTCTTCTTGTGTGATAACACTTGTAATTTGATTATTGTTTCATGGATATTTAATTTAATTTGGAATTAAATTAAATTCTAGTTTTTCCTTTTTACCAACTATCCCACATTGAAAGATGATGGGATTTCAAGGGAAATATTCCCTATAAATACCAATCATTTGGCATTTGGGAAAGGCACTTGACTTGGTGAACTTTAAGGGATCTCCAAGAAGAGAAAACCTTTGTTCTGATAACTCTAAGTTATTTTTGGTCTAGCCCTGACTAAGCTTCGGGGTAGGGACCGGTGCGGTTTGGTAGCAAGGGTGTGAGCCGTTGGAGGTTCTCGCACTTGCGAAACTTGAAGCTTTCAAGTCCAAGCTCAAGGTTGAGCGAAGCACTCTACAAGGTGAGCATTCTCTCTCTTCTCTTATGTTTATGTATATTTTACATGCTTTTATTTATGTTGTAATTATTATGCATGCAATCCGGTTATCGGGTTTTGTTTCTGCGTGGTGTCAGACACCGCAAAACCCAACAGCGGTATAAAAGCCTCTTGCATTTAATTTTTACAACTAAAAAATTAATTAAGGTGATTTAAAATGGATTTAAATTTCTTGTTTAGCATCCTAATTAGATTAGGAGCTCGTTTTTAATTGGATTAAAATCGTATTTATGCTGATTTTGGATTACGAACTCCGATTTTTACTCAAAAATAGTGAATTTTGGGTGGAATCGACATTCTAAGTCAAACTTTACCCCGATCTGTGTTTAAAAATGGTCTTCCAGAACCCAAAATCCACCAGAAAGTGGTTTTTTGAGGGGTTTTTCGTTTTTGACAAAAAACTATAAATTTTTAAACCTTAATTTATTGTGGCATGCAATTGTTGGATTATGTGTTTGATTATACCATTAATCTTCTGCAATTTTAACCCTTCTTAAGCATGTTTATGAAGTCATAAATGGTGCTTAATTTGGTTAGCTCTTATTTTCACATAAACTTGCAATTTCACATTTTTGCAAATTAATTGCTTGGAGTGTGGATGTTTATGGTGAAAATGTATTTTTGAAGCCCTTAAAATGTTAAAGATTCAATCTTTAATTGTTTATTTGGTTGGATCTTAACTTTCTAAATTCCATAATGAACTACATTTTAGTTTTAATCAATTTAGAGTTGATTAAAGTCTTAAATGTTCAAACTTGTGATTAAAATTGATTACTCTTCATGTTGGAAGAATGTAATTTTTCAAATTTACACAAGTTAGTGTTAAAGAAATTTTTCATTAGATGATTGTGTTTATTTTTCCAACTCCTTTTGTCAAATCTCATTGTTAACTTATGTTGGTTAAATTAATTGTGAGAATAGCCTTCAATTTTGTAGCATCAAGTTGAGCCAAAAATAATTTAAATAATGGTTCTTGAATTAATTTTGGTTTGAGTACTAAAATTGAATTTAATTAAGTTGGACTTGTTTTACTTTCATATTGCTCAATATTGGTTCTAAAGATAATTTAGAATTAATTTTTTATGTCACACAAAAAAATCGGAATAAAATTTCGAGGCACAAGCACGCAAATCAAGGCACAAAGCCTCAAACATAACTCTCGGCCAGCTGGGCTGCTTGCGCAGCTCACATGTGGTTGCCGAGAGTGCGCGGCATGCTAGTGCAATGGTGTGTGCGAGTAGCTCCCTTGGTGCAGCAGCTTGGTCCGAAGTAGGCTAGCGTGTTGTGTGATATGAGGTTGTTAGGCAGCACGAGCCCGCACAGCAGCGTGGCCTTTGAGGCCACCACTTGCGTGCGTTGCAAGCACGCTTCTAGGGCCAGCATAACACGCGAGCGATGCTGTCAGCCGCTAGCACGTAGCTTGGCGCAGCACCCAGGCATGGCAGCCCGGGTTTGGTGCCTAGCAAGCCGAGCCTCGTGGCTTAGATGCTAGGCACTCAGCCGTAAGGGGCTATTAATTTTGCGATTTTGCTCGTTTTCGTTTTAATTAAAACGAGGCTAGGCCTCGGTTTTTCTCGGCACTTGCAAGATTTTTGGCAAAATTTTGAGTTAACCGGCTTAATTAATTTTAATTGGATTAATTTGAATTAAGTTGGATGTG